AAAGAGAGGCCAATCAAGAGGTGTGAAGTCAGAATGGGTGCAGAGAGGTGTGAAATGAAACTTCCAATGAATGGAGAAAATTTAAAAGAACAGTAATCTGTCGTTAAGGGAAGGGAGAATGTGTGATCCTAGCTGCAGAATAATTTTAGTTTCGGTGGTCTTTCTGATGTATGAGTTCGGAAAACCGTCTTTGAGAACACAGACGGAGAGATTAGAGTGGTCGTGGCCGTCAGAGGTGAAATGAGAAACAATGGGCTTGGAGAGATCTTTAATCTTCACAGCCCTGACGTGTTCTCTGAAGCGGTCTCCGAGTCTCCTTCCTGTTTCCCCAATGTAGATGGCTGGGCATTTACTGCAAGAGATACAGTAAATAAGGTTGCTGGAGGTACAAGATGCTGTCTGGGTGATCCGGAATTGTCCTGAGGGGCCTTGAATGAGTGTGGTGGTGGCTGTGTACTTGCAGGTGATACAGCGAGCTCTTTTGCAAGGGAAAGTGCCTGGTGTGGATGGTTGCTGAGGGCGGTCAAGGGAGCTGTGGACAAGGAGGTTACGCAGATTAGGTGGTCGGCGATATGAGATGATAGGGCGATCAGAAAAGAGGGCCCCAATGGAGGGATCATCCTGTAGGATGGAAATGTTCTGGTTAATGGTCCTTGGGATAGGAAGTGTGTTAGGGTGGTAAGGAAGCACCAAAGGAATGCGGTTGTTACGGAGGGAGTTCCTGATCGGGTTGATGGTCCGGGGGGTGTTTTTGGCTCGGGCAAGGGCCCTGTCAATCACACTGCTGGGGTATCCTCTGTTCATAAAAAATGAGTACATTTCGAGGGCTTGGTTTTCGAAGTCGATGTCATCGCTGCATAATCGTCGTAACCTAAGGAACTGTGAAAAAGGAAGAGAGTTTTTAGTGTGGTTGGGGGGGTATGGTTGTGGGTAGTTGATAGACAAGTGGATGTCTGGAAACGGAAGAGTGGTGGAAGAGTGGTGGAAGAAATGTTAACCGTATATTTGAGGGACGGGTGGAAGTTGGTGAAATGGTGCAGGAAGAATTCAAGCTGATCGTTGGAGCATGACTGAATATACTGCTTTTGATTGTTTATCTGAAATCTCAATAATCACACATTCAACTCAAGGAAAATACATTATTTAAAATATCACTCAGTTAAAGAGATGTATCCCTGCTGCATTAGAATTTCAGTGTGTTAAAATTATGATATTGCACATGTTATTATATGTTTCTGGACTTATACTGTATATACTGTAGTGTTCTTTTAACAGTCTTGTTTCAGCCGACCTTGAAGATGTGACTCTCTGAAATGGGAAGCAAAAATAGAAACTGTTCCACTTTTCAGATATGATACAATTGGTTGTATGGAGAAGCAGATTACAGACAGAAAATCTAAACACTTGAACCCCCTGCTAAGTATGCATGGGATGTTCACATCTTGTCCTTTATTTTCACAATTTCACAATTCTGCCATTTAAAGAAAGTAATGGGTTACATAATAACACGTCTACTTACACAGAGATGAAAGTGCTCCTATATCTGACCTGTAGAATTCTATGTTTCAGGTGCTCTTTAGAGTGCTGAATATTTACTCATCTTCCTTGTTTGGTTCTGATTTGTTCTCTGGAAACACCTTTGAAAGACTTTGTAGCTGTACTTATCTAGTAAATGGAGCTCTATTACTGATGCAGCAACTTCCAAGAAAGCACACCAAAATTCTTTTGAATAAAATTCTTAAACTGTTACAAAATTATATTGTTAATGAAAATATTATAGATTTGAGAAGCATAAAGCTATGTCTCAGACATACTGTATGATTATCTTTATTGAAAATATTTTTTCATATATAATAAGATATATAATAGATATAAAGATAAAGAGTAAGACATCTATTAATGTAAAAAACAAAAAACTATATTTTTGTCTCAAGATTTTTTAAAAAAGTACTCAATTCTGTACTTCTGACGTGAGCAACCAGTCTCCATATATACGAAACGTCACCCTCTCTTCTCCCTCGTTCGTTTTCTGCATCCCTCCTCCACCTTTGCAACTGCCCAATTGGTCGCATGTGGGTCCTATCCTCCCTGTCCAATGGCCGTCAGCCAAGTGGGTTAAGCCAAGTCTTCATATCCCAATAAATGATTCTAATTTCTCTCAACCTTTCGGCTGCTGTCATTCCTCGTGAAAGTATTGTGTTGCATTTGTCATTATCAGTCACACTGCTCATTTTCACTTGATCCCTGTACAACGTTTATAAAAGAGTAGTACAGTAGATAAAAAAAATCTAAAATCATACTACAGATATTTATACAATGGAATAGGTCATATTTGTTAAGTATACGTTTTGTGTGCAAATGTGTTTTTAAGATACAGGACAAACAGTATGTATTTGGATGCACAATACAATATCCTGAGAAATACATTCATCTTCATGTTAAACTAAGAAAGATTAAACTTTATATTTTGATGTGTACAAAAACTGACTGATTATTTGAGCATTTTTAAAAGAAAGAAATACCTTTACCAGTGTGCTTCAATTATTATTATTATTATTATTATTATTATTATTATTATTATTAGACATTAAGGCCCTATTCTTTAACAAAAACTATAGAGCCATGTACTTAAAAGTCTTGCATAAATTTATCCGTCACTTACCCATCATTTCATATTGCATGTTAATACTGTATACAGTATACCAAAAGGTCTTACTGTTTTTTCTAAGAACATGCCCTTGTGCTTTTAGAATAGACTTATGACGTTGAATGGTTCGAGAATAATGAATAGGTCTCTTGTTAAGTTACAGAACAGGTGTAGACTGAATAAATATTTGGACCAAGATTCACAATCAGTAGTCTGATAGCATATTTTCCGTCTTCACGAGTTTAACACTGATATTTTATTTTATGGTATAAGGAATAAGGTGTGTGGTTGTAAAATACAGTAAAAAAGCTGAGAACATTAAATATTTCACTGAGCATCGTCTTTCTGTCTTTTTAAGGGAAGCTAAAAAAGGATGTTTTCGGCTGGATATGTAAGTTGCTTTTTTCTCTTTTCTTTTCATTGGATACATTTAGCGTGCTTATTTCCTGCACATTCATTTTCTAAAATAGACTGTATGTTTTAAAACTATCCCTATTCTCATTACAACTAAACTGAAATAATAATTAGTTTTTAAAAAATAAAGGTGAAGAAAGATACATTACCGCACACGTCATAGATACTGCATGAAAACATTTTCAGCTGTATTTTGTACTACATCTGCCATAAAAGTTACAACTTTAAACTTGAAAAAAATGAACCAAATACCAAGTGCTCAAAATGTTATATTATTTTTCAATGTCTCACACATCCAAATACATAAATCAACATGTATCTCTTTTTATATCTGGACTGCTTTTTTACCCAGCTCAAGACCAATCTGTTTATCTGTAATTTCTCATTTTAATTATATTCCTCAGTCACATGTACACCCTGTTGCATCAATGTGCTTAACTCTCAATACAACAAAGTGATTGGTTATACATGTACAGTATACCAATATATATCTTCATTTTTTGTCATCACTGTCTTGTATCCATGAAATCTGTATGATATTTTAATTCTGAGCAGTTTGGTCTGTCTAGAGAAGCATGTACATTGCATTTCTTGCTTGTGCAAGACTTATTGCCATTAACTTACCTTATTGCCATTTTATAAATTTATTATTGTATGTTGTTCCTGTCTAATATTATCTTACTATCATGGTCGTCGGTTCTGACTCCCGTGAAACACGTAGTTAAAGACACTATGCGAGACGACGGTATAATCCTGAAGTGACTGGAGTAGGGAGGTGTCATCAGGGAAGACGCAGTAGGATCAGGCTGGGTAGAAACACAGGGGATAGTGACGGCAAAGTCTTCTTGTCTGCAAAGTCTATGTGGTCTATGTGGTCATGTGAGACTCAACCAGATTATGTTGAGATGTTTTGTTTGAATTAGGTCCATAAACTCAGCTATGAAATGGTAATGGTACCCAATCAGTCCCAGAAAGGCCCATAATTGATTTTGGCCTTTGGCAAGGGACAAAACTTAAAAAATGTTTCAAATCTCAAGCTCAAGCCTAACCTAACGGTTCTTTACCCACTGTCCCAGATATTGAATCTAGGTGAAGTCAAGTCAACTTTTCCTGTGATGATCATATGACACTGACCTCTCTTAGCTACTTAGGACAGCTGGAAAGTGGGATAGATGCAATTCCCAAGTTTCACTAATATGTCTACATCATCACAGCAAGCTGTGGCATATTGAAAGTATGGTCACAACGGACAATCTATAACGTGCATGGATTGTAAAAAACCAGAAGGAGTTACAGAAGCAGTTGGTGACATTATGTGTGATCTCAGGGGAATCTGCATGTTAACTTTATTAAGATCTAGAATGAAAATATATTTTAAAAAATAGTGGACAGATTCAGGAATTTTAGCCACCTGTACCTGTGCTTCCATTTGATTGCAAAGGAAGTTCCCCGTGATGATGCCTACGTCCTATTTATCAAGAGGAGCACCAGGTGGAAAAGGGCTGAGGTGCATACATCAGTCTGAGTAGTGACACCCTGCCCTGCCTTTAACCCCTAATACAGTAGTCCCCTTTTTTCAGCTTCTTTTCTTTCCCTGCCTTTCTTTGTTTTTTTTGGGGGGTTTGGCTAAACAAAGAGACAAGGATTAAAAGTGCTCTAGGGCATCAGGTTCCAATCTTGGCCTGCATGATCTTCTAGAATATGGGGAAGTCTCAACTCACTATCATAAAAAGGAATTATGTGTCACAAAAAGAGCTAGCACTGGACCTCAGCCTGTATTTCTACAGTATGTTTTGCTCTTCATGGAACTGAAGCTTTACAGTTGGGCATTCTTTGCAATTACTATGCACACAAGTCACCTCACTTTTTTCCTCAGTGTCAAATTGAGTAGGGTCTACCAGAGAGTTTTCCAAGGTAGATTGTAGTCCCAGAGTCTGCTATGGCTTGGATTTGTTTCAATTTAGGGAAGTGGAGTCACTGGCTGCATTACTTGGAAAAGTACCTCTCCAAGGTAAGGGTCAATATCAATGTCTGAAAAATAATATAAGTAAGAATCATCTAAATAGGATAATTTAAAAATGATCATCTGAACACACAGCAGTACAAACAATAATCAACAGAAGGGACATTGCATATATAATTATTTTGTGTGATCAGGGACCTACAGTATAAAAACATCACATACTGTACTACTGTTAATTTGCACTTTGGTGAAAAAGACTTTGGTTCCCAAACCCCGAAAATCTGACATACATAGTCCTGAATACTTAAGAAATTGGAATCTATTTTCACTATACTGTAATTCATGTTTAGAAAAGTTTGGTCAAACTGTATTATTTTTATCACAGATACAAGGGACAATTTACCCAGCTCAAGATTTTAACCCTTGCAGGGATACAGAAGAGCTGTTTGGAGCTATTCAAGGTATGAGTAAGCAATTTAGTGAATAAAATTGTTTTTATCAAAAGTTCAAGAGGAAGTCAAACCCTAATCTCACCCACTTGTGCCACTCAAGTAGCTGACTGTTTTATTCAGCCAGGCAAGGTAAGCCAAAAAAGAAATATTAATTCAAAACAAGCCTTTGCTGTTCTTTAAATTAGGGTTTGGATGTACTACTGAAACATATTTAATGTCAAGAAGTGATACATCTTTTTTTACATATAAAATACATTTATATGTATTGAATGTTTTATAAATATGAATATGTTCCTTTACAAATATTTCAATTTTAGCAACCCTCAGGTTGATAGGATAACAAACAGTTCAGTAGTTTGGTTAGATCCTAATAAATGTGAGAGACAAGATGTGCAGAGTATAGTTGACATTACTCGCCTAGTCGAGGGAGTTTGGCAGCCTCATTTTAAGGGTGAGGCTACCCAGACACTCCCTCTGTATTGAGGGATACAAAAGAGTTGTACTGCAGGAAGTCCCACTTGTGAGATTTAGTGTACTGCGTATATGTGGGCAATTGTGCAAGATTGGGATCTAACATTCTTCTTTCTTCTAACTTTGTTATAATTCCATTAAGCCATCTCATTTTAAAGAAAGTACATTCCCATGCCCTTGGAAAATACCTTGGGATAATTTTTTATAATAAATAAATCTTTGCAGTAATTTACAAGTGGTAAAAGGAAAATAGATGAGATACTGTATATGGTTGATAGAAAGCTCAAAGGTCAAGCAAACTCTGTGGTTTCTGACTTAAAGGAGAAAATTCAAAGGTCAATCAAAAGCTCCAGCTTTGCACTGTAGAGTTTTGTAGCAGCTGAAAAGACTAACATACATTATTTTGCTGTTACGTGATTCTGAAACTAAGGAGATTCGGGAAATTTTGTTAAAGAAAATTCCAGGACATCCATGGCTCCAGATCTCTAAAGTATCTCTGGATGTTAAATTAATTGGAGTAGAACACACCCTTGTAATCAAATCTTCTGGCAAAGTGGAATGGGTGACATTAAGACATTAAAAATCAGTAATAAAAATATTTACATTTTAAGCATTATTTAGTCTGGGATTCTTTTTTTATGTTCAGGATGCAATAAAGATGTGCTGATTGATATTCTGACTCAGCGCAGTAATGCACAGAGACAAGTAATTGCTGAGGCCTACAGGGAGATGTATGGTCGGGTAAGAAGATTTTTTATTTACTTTATTACTTCAACTACAAAGCAAAGCTACTGAGGGGATTTGCTTTGGTATAGTTGAGGTGCTCATTTGGAAGGGAGGTTGAGCCCTGCAGTCCAACTTCGTCAATTTTATGTCATTATCCAGCGATGATTAAGTCTTCTGCAAGCCACTATGAGACTTGTAATGTAAAATGATGAACAGCTCCGATGTTTCAGAGGAAAGCCCAACCACAAGTTGAGTAGACGTCTTCCAAGATTAATTATAGTAGTGAGGTTTAAAAATTATTTGAAAATTCCAAACTTCAAAAAACCTGCTTAATTCAGCACTATTTTGATTTGACTGGTAATATGAAATAAATGTACACAAAGATACAGAGGCGGAGGAAGGCTAGTGCATAAGATCAACTTTATAATACAATTCACAAGTATCATAAGTGATTAAGAGTATAATTTTGTTTCTGTAAATAAAAAACATTTCTTTAAAAAACGATTCTTAAAGAAATGAAATGCCATCAATTGTTCAGAACTGCATGTGTGGAACTGCAGAAATAGAAATAAATACGTAAATAATAATAAATAATGAAAAAGTAAATAATTTCTGTTTTAGTTGTTCTTTTCTGCTTTTATTCTTACCTTTGAGAAATTAAATCACTTTATTGCTTTGTGAAACTCAGAAACAATACATGTGAATTAATACCAAACAGAGAAACAATGGCCATATTCACAGAAGATTTAAGTTGAAAATGTATTACTATTATTATTAGTTGTATTATTAGTATTAGTAGTATTATAATTATTATTTACAACATTTTCCAATGTCTTTTAATTATAAAGTTTTGTAAGAGCTGGTCCACAGTGTCCTAAATCATAAATCAATTATATTGACAGCCAGGGCAGCAGATTACATCAAGAAAGTCAGGTTTACTGTCTCCAACCTCTGCCGGTTTTCATGAACAAAACTATAAGTAGGGACATATTCTATGGTAAACTATATATATATAGTTAAAAGTGAATAATTTAACATCAAAGGGATGCTATTAAAATCGTGCAATGCACCATTCAGATTCCTCAAATTTTACTTATGTTGTTAAAATAATGACTGATTAGAAATAAAAAAATGAAGCACTTGAAAAATTATACAAAATAGTCAGGGTGAATGTAACTTTAAGAGTGTCTTCTACATCATTGAGAACAGGAATCTTTGTTTGGGTACATATAAATATTTATTATAAAAATATATATATGCAATAGCACAGTACCTTCACATGGTCTAGAGGCAGAAAGGGTTTTACCACTTTTTTCACCCAGCAGGCTGGTCCTTTTTGATGAAAGGATTACATTCCTTCTTTTACTTTCATTTACATGGATGCACAGTTCTCTGGCAGAGGCGAAAGCCTCCGGATGCAGCTGAACATATATATAAACTCAAATTATACACACATATTTCTTTGTTACATTTGAGCAAGCTGTAAATTAGCCTTTTTGTGGAGCTGGTGTTTTTTAATTCATTAGACTAAATAGAATTGACAAAAATGTATGAAACATAATCATTTTCATTCATTTGCACATACTTCTTGTTGACAGATTGTTCCCCATATTGCCACTGTTCTCAATTAAATGTCTTGGGAAGGTGAAAGAAGTATACAGTAGATTCTTCCAATCATATGAGGAATACGGAACCAGTATAAACTCCTGAATAATTATCCTCCCAAAATCTGCTGAGCAGCTGTAACTTGGAAAACTATCATCCTATGTACAATAATGAGAACATCTTTCTGACATAATGTGATTCTCATTTTTAAACATACTGTGAAATTTTATATTGGGTGAGGCTGGAGAAGGGGGTATTAAATTTATCGGCAGTAATACTTTACATTCTCACATTTACCATTTAATGTTTCTATTGATGTAGTCTGGCTAATAAACAGGTGAAGCATTATAAGTAGTCTTCTTTGATGTAGATATGTGAGGATATAACATATATGCAGGTAAAGAGCCATTATAACAATATTAAGATACCTTTTTCACTTCCCCTACAGTAGCTTCCACTAACAGATGTTTATCTGATGGTTATCTCAGCTCAACACTGCCAGCAGAGGCTTGTTGCCTTAGTCAACAGATGTCCGAGACTACATTTGATTCTCCTATCTGTAAATATTTAAACTAATCTGTAAAAAGTAATCTCACCTTGGCTTCCATATTTGCCTGGTTCAAACATTCAGTGATGGTATTCGGTGAAAAATAATTTTATCACTGAATACTATCTAATTTCTGTTTTATTTTGTAGTTTCATTTGACTGGGTAATTACATGTAATTTTGAAATTCCATGTTCTCTTGTCATAGAAGCACGACTATGGCACAGCACACAAAATCACACACTTGCATACTTAAATTGCTAAATTAATTTCTTCTCAGGTGTCAGACATTTCATATGCAGTAGGCTTGAAGCAGTGAGAAGTAAAAAAAAAAATGTGTTGATGTACACCATTCCTTTAGATATAGAATATATCTAAGATATATAAGAAGGTAAACATTTATCCATGCTTACATATTTTTCTTCATTTCAGAAGCTAAAATCATTGAATTCATTATTCTTTAAATACATCTGGTATGGACTTAAAGACCTATTTTATGTTTTTCTTCTCACAGGAACTGATCATTGATCTTCGAGAAACTTTTTCCCATCACTTTAAGCAAGTTATGGTTGGGCTAATGTATCTGCCTGTATTCTATGATGCTCATGAGTTATGGCATGCATTGAAGGTACCTTTACTTCCTATTATATCTACTACTAATCATCTTGGTATTGTAAAGTACATTTGTTAAAACAAGATACCTAAAATAATGAAATTCAATTCAGTGACATTATTATGGTAAACTAATACTGTACCAATACAGCTAATGAAGTGAGTGTCAAAGTGGTGTAGTGGTTAGCATTGAGGCCTTGTGGTACTGGGGATCTAGGTTCAATTCCAGGGGTTCGATCTGTATGGAATTTACATGCTCTCCCTGTGTGGATTTCCTCCAGTTGCTCCTTTTTCCTTCCAAACTGCAAAGAAATGCTGGTAGGTTAAATGGCTTCTGTAAAACCTGGCTCTGGTGTAAGTATGCATGTACTGTATTTGTCTTTGTGTGCCTAGTGATGGACTGGCATCCCTTCCAGGGTTGTGCTATAATGTTTTCTGCAATAGGCCACCATGACCCTGAATTGGATAAGCAGTTAATGAAAGTGATTTTTATACCGAAAACCAATAGACTGAGATAATTTGAAGAAATTTCAAATGGCAATTACATTGATCCTGAGGGTCAATTCAATACTTGAAGGTTGTGTTCATGTAGAAACGTTTTTTAAACATGGGTTGTGTGAGGCCAAGCTGTTCTTCTTTGAGTGATATACCCATGTATATATATATAGAAGGGACAGAGGCCTATTTATCATCTAACCGCACTGTTGTACAGTACGTTTTCCATCTACTAGAACCATCAATCTGCAAATACGGTTATTAAACTTTGGGAGGGGTTTCTTTTTTTAGAAGATTTTACTAAGTATTTTACCATTTTTGAAGATCTGATATTTCAAGGTCCAGCAGTGATAGTTGTACTCTTATGACAGTAGGAGGTTCTCAGTCAAATAGCAGAAACAGACATAATAATTTATCATATTTACTTTCAGTATATACATACATACTGATTTACTTGTTTCCAGACATAATTACTGATTCTTATTCACACTCTTATTTACCTTACTTAACATTAAGTATTTCTGTTCTCACCCAAACTATAGTCTACCATGTTCGTGAATTTTCCTTTTTCTTCCTCTACCCCATCTTTTTCAGTTACCCGGGCACTTGCTCTTTCTGTCAAAATTTATTAATTCATATAAACCTATGAATTTAACAATTCATATAAACCTTAATATAATTTTCAATATTAATATTTACTGGTCATGATCACTAAATAACTGTATCTGATTTGGTTGTTTTCCAAAGATTTGTATTCCTGCAAGGCCATTTTTAAATCAGAAATCAGTTCAGAAATATAAATATATGCTTGTCATTTTTTATTCTATAGATACTTGCTCTGCCTGAATGGACCAAGTATATTACAGAACAAAGCCCCGTGACCTCTAATACAAAGGCACCCCATCAAATTCTACATTAAATAAATCAACATGGTCAATAAAGAAAACAATTGTCAAATACAAAGTTGGTGATCGGTGCACATATATAGAGGATTATGTTTTGCTTGACCTCAGAATGTACAGTCAAGTCAATGTCACATTCCTGTGATATTTTGGTCCTTTTAAGAACAGCAAAAGTGATTCACCTTCAAAAGACAGGGACATGTTTTACATTCATAAGCAATTTAAAATCCAATTCCAATTTTCTCTAAAATAAGTGTATCATATTAAATGATTTTGGGGTCCAAAGTAGTGGTTATTTAATATTATACTGAAAGGATTACGTGAGCATTTTAAAATCTCCCTTAAGTATCCAGTGTGTTTTTTTTTCAGTAATATCTCTTGACCTATAGAGAAGCTATTGATTTTTAAGGATTGTTGTAGCATGATATATTAGTTCAGTTGAACCAAAGGTAAGAGGAATTTAAGTGTCATTTTAGTAATTTAGAGAATGGCACTGGTAGGTGAGAAAAATCAAAAGTAAACCATTCTTTTCTGAAATAAAAGACATTCCCAGGTCAGAGATCGACATAGTGCACTTGCTACCATTCTCGACTAGTTTTAAATAAATATCTAACCTATCCAAAATAATATATTGTGTGACCAAAGATAAAACGTACTTATTTTGTTATGCTTTTGCTCAATTGTTATTTTTCTCATGGGAGTGGGTGGCTCAGGAAAATACTAATTTTTGCAACAAATCTATATTTTCATTGGTACTTTTGAGTGAGAATATCAAAAATAACTTATTTTCAAATATTTTTACTTCTTTTTACTTATTACTTCTTCTGAAATTATTAAGCAAGGCAATTCAACATTATTGACATAATTTTCAGGCAGTCACTGTGGTCATCTGTGAAATATTCACTAAACAGATATTTGCCTTAACGAAGATGCAGCAGAAAAAACAGTCATCTTTTCCATATGTTATTCCTGTTTTACAACCTAAGCATTTCAGATTCCTGCTAATTTTTTGCTTTTGTTGCTACTCTGTACTGTATGTCCTAAGTCTACTGCCTGTTGGATTTTATGATCACTCTCAAATCTATATGCTCAGAGTGCCTCTTTCTAACAGCCAAAGAGGCGAAAATTGGATTGGTAAGGTGTTATGTTGCAGGAAGACCACATGATACTGGGTGAAAATTGTCACCTTGAATTATTCTCACTTTGAGTCTGTATCATAACACTCTATAAAACAGATCCGGCTATTTAATTGTGACTAAGACAGCAAATCCTATCAAACTTCTGTCTAGAACTTATGAGATGCTGAGATGCATACAGTATGTTACAGTACTGTATATCACACATCCCGCATGCACTTGTCATGTTGTTTAACTGTCTAACACGTAGTACCGTTGTCATAACATTCTTGCAATGTTGTGGTAAATTAGTTGTATGGTCTACTAGGTCAGATATTTTTTAATGTTTTAGGACAACCAATAAAATAATGGTGGGAAATAATATATGTAGAGTGAGGACAAGGATACATTACCACTGACTAAAACATAATAATCCATTAATGTGAAATTAAAGGTAATACTATCAATAGTATAAAGTCTGCTGCTGTCTCACCTGCTTTAAAACAAACCTGGTAAGGAAACTGGCCTTAATTCTCAATAACCTTTTGCATTTTTTCCAATTTGCTCTTTTCTTGAACAAAAATTAGAATGGGTATTGGCAGGTTGATTACGCCCTCGTTTAGAATCTACCGATCTCTTTGAAACTCTGTAGTCAGGGTTTAATGACACAAGAACATATGAATGGTTACAAACAAGATGAGGAGGACATCCAGCCTGTTTGGATTGACCATTTAGGTAAGGAAATGAATGATCCAGGGGCTGGTCCAGTTGTTTCTTGAAGAAAACTAGAGTAAAAGCCTTGGCAATCTGACCCGCTTGTTTCACTTCCACAACCCTTGGCGGAAAGATGGTTTGCATTCTCCCACTTAAATGTACTTCCACATACTGTATTTTCCATTTGAATCTCCTTTTTCATGTTTCATTGTTTATTCAAAAGAAGCCCATGGTTTGACATTGTTAATGCCTTTGAGACTAGATTTTTTGTTTCTATTAAAGACTAAAAATACATTATTTCTGCCTGTCAATATACAGTCGGCCTTTTTTCTGTAATGCATCCGGTTTCTCTTCTCTGGGCAAATTGCAGAGGAGCAATATCTTTTCCATAGTGTATATTTTTTTCAGAAGCGACCTCTTCTATCTCATCTTCTATCTTCTATTTCAGTGTTTCCCATTTTATACGGTATTTATAGTTTATGTTTTTGCTACCTACCTAAAAAAACTTGATGTTGCCTACATCATCTGTCTGGTGTTTGCCCAGTCTTGAACTGTATGTTCTGCTTTTACAATGAATGTTAATCCTCTTCAATATCTATATCAGTATTGTCTACGCACCTGACTAGTTTAGCTATACCAGAATCTAGATAATTGATAATTGTTAGGGTAGGGGTCCTAGTACAGATCCCTGAATCTGTACAGATCCAATAAATCCCATCACTCCAAATCGAGTATTCACCCCTTACCCGTACCCTCTGTTTTGTAGTTTTTAACCAGTTCTCCAAACAAATAAGCATTTGTCTGAATGCCTACTGACTGTAATTTGAGAAATCGTCTTTTATGAGGAACTTTATTACATACTTTTGTTTGCTCGAGGAACTGTAATACATTCATTAGATAATTTTAAATTAGGCATTTCTAAATACGTGTTGACTATTCCTTAGGATCCTATCTCCATATTTCCATATCTAGGATCTAATTATGTCTAATAATTGCATAACGTCACATGTAAAAGAAGTCAGGATTATTGGTCTATATTTTCATGGTTCAGTTTTGTTGCCTTCTTGTGAATGGGCACTGCACAGGCAATTTTCAATTTCATGAGTGTCTTGTGATTGTTGAAAGAGTTGTACCAGTGGTTTCTGACTAACATCTCTTTTTTCTTTCCTAATAGCAATTAATTGCTATTATGGAATTGGTTTTTACTGCAATGCTAATGACTCTCTGCGTTACACCACCTCGCCACCAGAGAGCACCCCACCCTCTAGTGCGTAGCAGAAGTGCAGACCATGCAGACGTCAGTAGTCAATCCCTGCTCGCTTACTGTCCCTAGCTCACCACGCCTCCCCTCCTGAAGCCTACTAAAACCCTGTTCATTATTCAAACAGTGGTCAGTATTGTTGCCATTACTCTGAGCTCTAGATCTAGCCTTCAGTACATTCTTCCCTTGTTCCTGCATCTGTTTCCTACTCCTGTTTTCTTCCCTGTTCATCGTTTGCCTCATATTTTTTCCCTGTATTTTGTCTGCTTGTGGCTTCCTGGTTTGGTTTACCTCACTTTGGTGCACTCAGCCCCTGGTCTTTTGTTTTCTTCCTGGACTCCTAAACTGGTTTTTGGATTTTTGGCCTGTTTCTCGACTTGGACTTTTGGATTGTGTTCCTGGACCTTGAATCTAGACCCTCCTTCTGGCTTTGGAGTTTGCTCGTCTCTAGACCCTGGCCCTGGATTTCCCTCATTCACTGTCGTGACCTTGGAACCCACATAGGGTCCCTTTCCTGATTACCAAGCCG